AGTCTTTTTAGTATTTTGTGTTTCTCTGAAGTTCCAAACTAAATTCCAGTGAACCCTCAGTTTACGCGGTTAATTCAACCCACGGTGGCCCGCGTAAAGTGAACAACATAACATATGGGATTAATTGAAATAGAGACCGGGCCGACCTCAAACTCCACTTTTTCAGACACAATACCTACGTTGTAGTAAAAATAACTTCTTAATTTTATGATGGTATGCACACACAATTAATAATTAAGAGAAATATCAATAATATTAGGTTTTTAACACTTACATTAGTAGAAAAGATGGCTGGGCACACGGGATGGGGTTGGTTCCGAGGCAGAGGGCAGATTATTGCCCTCACCTGTATCACTTTATTAATTGTATCACTATCCACCACAGAGGCTTGCAGGGCCTCTTTGTCAAAACCCCTGAAAGTCCATAAGTCCATATCCTCACTATCATTATCACTATCACTGACTTGGGCCGCTGTGGGTGGCGGTGAAGAACCTGTAATGTTTTGATGACTGGGCGACCTTAGGCGCATTTTGCCAAGCCGCCTCCGCAGTAAAGGGCAACACACCGCGGAAAGTGAGTATTCCGGTTTCGGCAGGGTACCGCAGAAGTGGGACCGCAGAAGCGAGGGTTGACTGTATTCCATTTAAACAACACTTCGATTTAGTGTGAATTCGGTTTAAAGCGACCTCTTGGAACATATCTCCTGTTAAATCCACGTTCTACTGTACAGTGTAATTATAATAAACAAAAATAGATAAACAATAATTCTCATTCTGCACTTAAAATGACAAAATAGTTACGGTACCTGTACCTGTACATAAATTGGTGATGTTCACCTGTAAAGAAGAAAAAAATATCTGTACCGTAAATGAGATAATATAATAAATATGGCTAGGAGGCATTTTAAGGATAAATAACAAGTGAAATATTACAGAAACACTTGAAATACCGAGGAACGCACCAAACTCCACAAGGACCAGATGTAAACAAAGGGTGTGCCAAACCATGGATACTAGCGCTATACTAGCTTGACAGGGCTACTTTTACACTTAAACAACTGATCAATGAATAAACCAGGGCATATTGAGACTCATTATACACTAATGATGTCACAAAGCTTTGAAATTACAATCACATAATTTATCACAACCTGTACTCAAATGTACTAAATTAATTGCTAATATTATTATGTATGGTGCAAAATAAGTGATGTTTATACTCAAATTAATAGCCATCTTACAAGAATTCTACCAATTCAAGTAATATTCTTTTAAGTCGCCTGTGAAAATTTTATAGGCAAAAAATTTAAACACCTCTACCTTTCAAAATCTTTGAGTATGCTTTAATCTGGCCCCCTCCTCCACACAGTTCTCCAACACACAGCACTCCAATATATACACTGGCACTCCAACACACTCACACACAGTTCTCCAACACAGCATTCCAATATACATCCCATCCAACACACAGTACTTCAACACACACTACTCCAACACACACAGTACTCCAACACACACAGTACTCCAACACACACAGTACTCCAACACACACACAGTACTCCAACACACACACACACACACACAGTACTCCAACACACACAGTACTCCAACACACACAGTACCCCAACACACACACACAGTACTCCAACACACACAGTACTCCAACGCACAGTACTCCAACACACAGTACTCCAACACACACACAGTACTCCAACACACACACAGTACTCCAACACACACAGTATTCCAACACACACACACTCCAACACACACAGTGCTCCAACACACAGTGCTCCAACACACACGTGTACCTAACACACACAGTATTCCAACACACACAGTACTCCAACACACACACAGTGCTCTAACACACACAGTGCTCCAACACACATGGTGTACTCCACACACGGTGTGCTCCACACACACACAGTGCTCTAACACACACGGTGTACTCCAACACACACAGTACTCCAACACACATACACAGTACTTCAACACACACACATAGTGCTCCAACACACACAGTGCTCCAACACACAGTACTCCAACACACAGTTCTCCAACACACAGTACTCCAACACATGCAGTACTCCAACACACACATTTCTCCAATACACACAGTACTCCAACACACAGAATACTTAAACACACACAGTTCTCCAACACACATTACTCCAACATACACACACTATGCCATCACACACAGTACTCCAACACACACACTACTCCAACACTCAGCACTCCAACACACACACACACACACTACTCCAACACACACACACACACTTACACACAGCATTGTAACACATAATACTCCAACACGCACATTAGTCCAACACACACACATTATTCTAACACATATATTACTCCAACACATTCAGTACTCCAACACTCAGCACTCCAACACACACACACTTACACACAGCATTGTAACACATAATACTCCAAAACACACAGTACTCCAACACACACACAATACTCAAACACACTGTACATTTCAAGTTAAGATTGTCAATTTGTTTATCATTTATCAAAGACAACAATTAAAGGTGTTGGGCAACAACAAAACAGCTGAGAGGTGGTGGTCATTTGGATATGACACTTCTGAATAAATTATTCATCTAATATAATAAATATTTTTATGCATTTTTCAGTACGGTATGACAAATTAGTGGTTCTTTCATACTTTATTTAGAATACAGGTATATATTCTCAATAAAAGTTCTGTGTAAATAGTTTTGAGTGATAATGAGAAGGGAACACAGTCGCCTTAGCTCTCAACCCTGATGTTAACATGGTATTTCACTTGTTTTCTTTGTTTAATAATTGATGACCATATATACTATCTATATTCTGTACAGTACAGTACTTCATTCTGGAGTCATCTGGGAGCCAGTGTTTCTTGGTTTAGTCCAGTACAGTATATATTATTGTCTATGAAGTGTTCAGACTACAGTATTACCCCGCCTAACGCGGTTTCACTTAATGCGTTTTATCATATAATGTGCCCGCCAGAGCTGAACTTTCACTTAACACGGATTTTTTTCCACATATACGGGTGAGTGTCCGCTCGAGACGCTATTTTTAGATTTGGCCCACCCGCCACCCTGCCTGACTGCCTGTTTTAGCTCATAAAATTCATACATATTCCCGCCAGAATATAATTTACATTGCTGGAATTCTTTATATTTTAGGATTATTTTGAATATAAACATCATATATTTTGCATTAGACATACAAATTTTAGATAAAATTTTCTGAGTAACTATGTTATCTTTGTGCAAAATATATGACATTTATATTCAAAATATTCCTGGTCTTACAAGGAATCCAGCAATGTCAATTATATTATCCTAACTTTAGTTTGAGGTATTATTTATTACAAAAAGTTAAGTATTCTGGTTTTCCACCACATCTCCTTGGGACAGTTGGTGGGTGGGGGAGGGAGGGACCGACCGACCATCTGTTACCCTGTGAAGAATATTTTTTTTTTATTAACTGAAGATATTTGTTTTAGCTCATAAAATTCATACAAATTACCGGTCAGAATATAATTTACATTGCTGAATTTTTATAATTTGATGATCATTTTGAATATAAACATCATATATTTTGCATTAGACATACAAATTTTAGATAAAAATTTTTCTCTGGGTAACTATGTTATCTTTTGTGAAATATATGACATTTATATTCAAAATATTCCTGGTCTTACAAGGAATCCAGCAATGTCAATTATATTATCCTAACTTTAATCTGAGGTATTATTTAATACAAATTAAAATTTATTTTTTCACCCCACATATCTTGAAGGACGATTGGTGGGGTGGGGGAGGTTGGGACTGACCGCGAGGTTAAAAGAGGGGGAGGCAAGGTGGGGTACTTTGATTGACAGATAGTGTCCTGAAGATTATTATTTTTTTTATTAACTGAAGATATTTGTTTTAGCTCATAAAATTCATACAAATTACCCGGTCAGAATATAATTTACATTGCTGAATTTTTATATTTGGTGATCATTTTGAATATAAACATCATATATTTTGCATTAGACATACAAATTTTAGATACAAATTTTTCTCTGTAACTTATGTTATCTTTTGTGCAAAATATATGACATTTATATTCAAAATATTCCTGGTCTTACAATGAATCCAGCAATGTCAATTGTATTATCCTAACTTTAGTTTGAGGTATTATTTATTAAATTTTAGTGGTTTTCCCCCAAAAATTTCTCAGAGAGGAAGAGCCAGTAGTGTAGTGGAGAGGGGAGGGAGTTGAGTCCATTATTTGAATGGACATTAACTTCATGCACTGTATTTCTATTTCTCTTAAGTATTAATTGTGTGCATGTACCATCATAAAATTAAGATGTTATTTTTACTACAACATAGTTATGTGTCTTCAAAAAGTGGAGTTTGGGGGTCGGGCCGATTTCTATTGGAATTAATCCCATATGTTCTGTTGTTCACTTAATCATGATTTCACTTAACACGGGACCCTCTGGGTTCTATTGACCGCGTTAAGTGGGGTACAACTGTACATTAAACCTTTCTGGTTCTGGCACCAGTAGGCATCTCTACAGCTTAAGAAAAACTTGAATAGGAAAAATGCTATTATTTCACCCAATTTGCTTTAATCTTGAATTAAGAATGCTGTTGTCTTCTGTACTGTTAAATATCTTCCTCTCGGTCGCCCATGGTGACAACCTACACTATATGACTAAGGTTCATATTTTATAACCTTATATGGCAAGTATTGTGTAGTCTAAAACTGAAATTTAAAATTTAAAATTTGGGAATTGTCTTATGTGCAACGTCGCATTATACTCTTATAGTATTAACGAATATTTTATTTTTTAAAGTATGAAGGATATATGGGGTGATAAAACTGTCCCAGGTATTTGAAGGTTTTGTAGTTTACATCACTGTATGTAAAGGATTTTTGTGAATTAATAATGTAATTGACTTAAGGATATCACTTTTTTTTTATCCTTTACAGATGTTGATGCTAATATGTTAGGTGTAAATGCAGCTGGTAACATGGCAGCTCAAGGACAGCAACAACAGTCGATGCAACAGGGACAAGGGATGAACCCACCAAGCCAGCGCTCAGTTGTATGGCAAGGCACACTGGAGTGGCAAGAAAAGAAGACAGATAATAACAGCAGGGTTGTGCACCAGGTCACTTGTAAGATGACTTCACTCGTGGTTAATGGTGAACCTGAAGTGTAAGTAGTGATGTTTTGGTTGAGTCTTTAAGTAGATGTAGAAAACACAAATATATTGATTTCTTGTACAGTGGGCGATATAAATCTAATCTGATCCTACTACTTAATATTCCTATAACCTAACGGTTTTACCTATAAAATTGAGAATGCTATAACTAACTTAAACTCCTACAATGAACATTATTTAAATTTTTTTTTTTTTTTTTCACTAATTTATTGTTTTTTTATTACAAGTATTAATGATAGTCTTTATTTCAGGGGTTTAGATGCATATTTATGCACTTTACAATTTTTACAATTTTATATTATATTTTTCAGTGTTAGTGGTTGTATTTGGGGGCCTGGAACGATTAATCCTATAACGAACTAATGCTATAAACTAACAAGGTTCTAGAACCAATTAGATTCGTTATAGCATACCCCACTGTATCTAATGCAGTGATATCCCTGTTAAGGGGAACAATTGGTGCAGAGCACTTCCGATGAGAGATCGCTAACCAGACGATTTTCTCAAACCCGAAAATTCTTTATCTCTGGAATCTTTTCCGGTTACTGGGAAAAGTTTCCGAGTGTCTAAACAAGACATCTTGCACACACAGACACTAGCCCACTTCCCCAGAATGTTTCTGGGTGCTGGAGATGTTTTCCTTAAGTCTAAACTACCGGAGTCCGTAAATGTAGTTCTAATTAAGTTAGAAACTCCATTTCTTAACTATAATAATCCAGAATAGTTTATCTAAAAGTTTGGTTAAATAAATATATTTGAAAATTAACAATTTATATGATATGGGCGTGAATGAAGATGTGTGTTACAGCAAAGACTGGTATTTTCCACTCCCATGGAGCTGGGGGATTAGTGGGTCTCATGTACCTGACCTGACACAATGTCAGGTGGAGGTAGGGTGGGGGATTAGTGGTTGTATATTACTGACCTCTGATGGAATGTCAGGTGGGGTATTAGTGGGTCTCATGATCTGAAGATGTCTTGAATAAACATGAAACCTAAAGTATTTTAGGAGTTTGTGATAAATATAAGTATAAATGAGTAAAGTTGTATCCCTTCAACATTATGTTACATAACATTTTAAAATATGGAGTGAGAAAGCAGAAAGGTGTGATTGATTAGAGAGATGTAGTGGAACTGAGTGTTGTCAAGCACTCCTCAACAGCTGATATATAACTCGTGAGTCACAAACACACAAATTTGTCACACAATAAGACCCTCACTCCTGATGTTTGCTGTCTTAATTCCCTTTGTGTGTGTGTGGTGTGCATCGCAGGCAGGCGTGTTTCCGCGGCCGCAGTCAGTTTCTATTCAAGCGTGGTTAATTGTGATAGGGAGATGAATTTGATACCATAATGATCCTTAATAAATTATCTACATAATTTTTCCAATAAGATATCCTTAAACAAAATATTTCTATATGATATGGTGATGGGAATTCCATTCTCTTATAAAAAAAAACGTAAGAAATGTTGATACCGGATTCAGTAAAATCAGTTTTAATTTTCAGTTAGACACACCATTTTTTATCAAAATAATCCTGTATACTTTATTTAAAAATTTTGCTAAATAAATGTATTTAAAAAAAACAAAAGCTCTACATGATACTGGGGTGAATAGAGCTGTGTTACTTTTATCCTCTTCACCACTGATCGGCTCGTTAGTCGCCATGCGATCTTCACGTCTCTTACACACTTCACTCAATTGACTGTAGTAATACATAACTAATCATGTCTTACACTTGCGATGATGTTTGGGTGGGAGATTATTGGGTCATGTTACTAACCTGACCTGATGCAACGTCAGGTCACCCAGTGTTGGGTGGGGGATTAGTGGGTCTTATGACCTGAAGATGTCTTGAATGACATTATTTTTTACCTATGAGGTATACATAGTACTGTATTGTATTGTATATGATGGGTACATGTATTGATAAGCACAGATTATTACAGTAACATATTCAGTGGTCCCTTGAATAACGAGCGGTTCAATTAACAAAATTTCGGTTAACGAATTAGCTCCCATGAGGATTTTCAATTTCATTAAAGAACAAAACTTCAATTAACGAAAGCCTTAGGAGAAACATGCTTTGTTGTGTGCATCACATTTCAACTGATTGGCTAGTTCGCCAATACAGTAATCGGTTCTATGTTTACATTCGTTTCCAGTGGAGTAAATATCAAGAAGGTTGTGTTTTTGAATGTTTTGCATTTTTTATATTAAAATTATTGGTCATTCTAAAATTTTACCATCCAAGCTCTGTCTACATAAAGTTTTCAGCTAATATTTAACTTTATTAATTTATTTTTACTCATTTACATGCACACACTGTCCTAAGGGCAAAGCTGTACTGTACATGTACTCAAAATAATGTACTACAGTGAAACCTCTAAAATTTGAACCTAAAAATTGATATATCTAAAATTCGAATAGAATTTGATTAAAAATAAGTGCCAAAATTTTAGGTTTCGAATTTGAAAATATCGCCATAATAATTCAAGCTTTCAAATGCGATCATAATGCTGAGCACAACGAGCGCATCCACGCCCAGGGCATGCTAGGTCACGCATTGTCCCTTCTCCCCGCTTTGTGGTGGTCGCTCACAAGTCATCCGTGGTTAACTTTAAATATTCAACTTTCACCCTTATAATGGCATCAAATAAGTAATAACTTGATAGTTTAGCATGCAGTAAAAGGAGAAAAAAGTATGTTTCACGGACCAATAAACAGTTCAAGCTCAGAAATTTTGTCAAATTATAATTTGATTTATAATTTTTAGCTTAACTTTATAATTTCTAAAACATGTTATAAAAGTTTTCAATACTAGGCAACTCAACATCATCTTTAGAGTTGTGCACGTAGCAGAGGGTAGGTAGCCTAATCGTCAGACCAACCCCACTATAGTGACAATGATTATACTGAATGGTAATTGTCTACAACCAGGTCGATATTTGGAAGTATTATTGAAGATGTGTACAATATTTACAGTAGTAAAACAATATTTTTACCACACTGCAGGCAGTGTGGTGAAGGGCGGGATAAAGAGGATGTCAGCCTACCGATGTTTATTCCATTAATAATTCTATGATTTCTTGATGTGTCTTATATTTAACCGACTTTTATTTTTGTTTACACACGTATATGATAGTAATTACAATTTAAAAGCACAGTCATGTGCCGGTTAACGCCCGCACTGTACGACTTCGACGGAGACACAATGATCCTCCTCTTATACTATTTTCAGATATTATGTGTTAAAGGAATAGTGCTTCCTTACTTAGGCTTTTTTAAGCATTTGCCTGTGAAATGTTAACCTACACTATTGAGGATAAAATCTGCACCTACTAATGGAGCTAACAAATACATTTGCTGTAATCAGACATAACTAGTTGCCTCAAACAATTGCAAGTTGCAATTGGGGTTGCAATTTCAAATTTGTATATTACTAAAATAGTAAAGTCTCTGGTGCACTCTAATATTAAGAGAGAAAACGGAGGGACTGAAAGGCCCTGATGGACAGGAAACGACTCGCATGACGGGGACCGTAACAAAAAAGTACATACATGTTTAGGACTACAGTATTAAGCGCATCTCTTTCATCACTTTGTAATAAACCTAGCCATGCTTGTGTATGCAGGAGATGCATTTATAACATTATATATATATTTAGTGGGTCTAAATGGTCGAAATGGGAAACTTAAGAAGTCTGGGGTGCCTGAACCACCAGGAATAAATCCTACAGGTTCTCTACTTTCAAGTATCGGCGGGTCCCACTAGCGCCATAACCAAGTGGATGACTGTACTTGTGACACTGGCCAGTTGTTTTGGTGTTGGTGGAACAGGGGGTACAAATGACATCACTAGGATCCCGCTTCCTCTATCATGAATAAACAATTAAAATTTAAATTGAAAAAACATTCAAATAAAATTACTATCTTACAAGAATCCTCCAATGTAAGTTATATTCACCCAGGCTGCTGGGGGAAAATGATGAGAAGAGCTAGCTGCTCTTAAGTGCAATGATAAATAAACACGCAGGCAGGCCTTCAGCGCCAACTGTCAAATCTATCTCAAATAAATAACAACGCCAGACATTTTGTCACCACCTCCTCTTCCTGCACCACCCTCTGTTCAAGATAAAGATTGGTGATTTTTTATGTTTATTTTTATATAATATCTGAGACTAAAGTTACGATAATATAATTTGCATTGCTGAAATCCTTGCAAGACAGAGATTAATTGAATATAAGCTGCCATATATTTTGCTCAAGGAGAAATAGTATATTAGGCATAATATCAGTAGGCTTTATAAAAGTTTTTCAACCTGTAGTTTTGGGTAGATTTTACATAAATTTCTTTTCATTTATTTTCACCCATTTGCTATCTGTTAACACCATACTAAAATAATAAACGTGAAAACAAATTAGTGCAAACCTGGAGTGTACATGTACTAATTTGATTATGGTACTAAATTGTTATGTCTAGTGCGAATTACAACATGCTTTTATATATTCAAATAAATCAGTATCTTACAAGAATCAGCCAGTGTTAAATATATTTTCCTCAGGGTCATATCACTGGACATTTTTGGGAAATGAGAGAAGCTAGTGAGACTGTTAAATAAACACACAGAGATCTTCAACAAATCCTATCACCTCAACCCCACCTCCCAACCCGCTGGGTGGCGGAGCCGGCAGTCCCCAGCCAGGCTTTTTAGGCTTACAGTTTTATCTTTACATAATATCTCAGACTAAAGTTAGGAGATTATACTTGCATTGCTGAATCCCGCAAGACAGCCAACAATTTGAATGTAAACGCTATATATTTTGCTCAAGAGATAAAAGTTGTTGTACATTAGTGTGCTGCAGTACTTGTACTTGCATTTTATAAAAAAGTTTTTCAACTGTATTTTTGCAGATTTACATAGATTTCTTTTAGTGCTGGAGTGCACATGTACTAATTTGATTACGGTACTAAAATTGTTTTTTTAGTGCAAATTATAGCATGTTTATATTCAAATTAATCATTATGTTACAAGAATCCCAGCCATGTTAATTATATTCACCCAGGTCATTTCTACACAGGCTTTTTATAAGAGAAAGCTAAGAACTGATAAATATATGTTGCTAGACCTGGGCTGTGCTAACTGTCAACGTGATTACTTCGCAGACCCTCTCTCTCTCCCCCATTTGCTGTCGCTAAGCGGGAATCCTTTAAAACAGTGAATAATTTTAATAAACATCATGTATTTTGCACAGAGATAAAAATTAATCACCTGTATCACATTACAGTAGTGATTTAAGATTTAAGTGTATATATACTATATAGTACAGTCAACCCCACTCTTTACGCTGTCCCACATTCCGCTGCTTCACGCTACGCCAGCTCCTGCCCAACCCAGGATGTCTAAGATTCCAAGGTGGGTGTACCCTTTACACGGGTGAAGTATAATTTTTTAATTTAGCTCATAAAATTCATACAAATTATTCAGCCAGAATATAATTAACATTGCTGGAATTTTATAATTTGATGATTTATTTTGAATATAAACATCATAGATTTTGCATTAGACATACAAATTTGGAGACGCTACTCTGAGTAAATATATATCTTTTGTGCAAGTATAAGTATATTTTATATCAAAATATTCTGGTCTACAAGGAATCCAGCAATGTCAATTATATTATCCTAACTTTAGTCTGATTTATTATTTGCCAAAAAGGTAAAATAACAGTCTGGGTATTCCCACACATTTTGGCCCTTTGTAGGGACGTTATGGGGGGTGGGGGAGGAGGGAGGGACCGGGCGCACGACCATCTGTTACCTGTGAAGAATATTTTCTTTTTTTATTAACTGAAGATTTTATTTTAGCTCATAAAATTCATACAAATTAATTCGCCAGAATATAATTTACTACAATTTCTATTACACTTTGATGATCATTTTGAATATAAACATCATATATTTTGCATAGACATGAAATTTTAGATAAAATGTTTAATCTGAGTAAGTATGTTATCTTTTGTGCAAAACATATAGACGCTATATTCAGAATAATTCCTGGTCTACATGAATCCAGCAATGTTAATTATATTATCCTAACTTAATCTGAGGTATTATTTAATACAAAATGTTAAAATCTAATTTTCACCCAACATCTCTTGAAGGGAGGATTGGTGGGGGTAGGGGGAGGTTAGACTGACCGCGCTGGGTTAAGAGGGGGAGGCAAGGGGTACTTGATTGACAGATAGTGTCGAAGAATATTTTTTTTTTATGAACTGAAGATATTTGTTTTAGCCATAAAATTCATACAAATTACTTCCGCCAGAATATAATTTACATTGCTGAACAATTCTACGCATTTGATGATCATTTTAACATAAACATCATATATTTTAAAATTAGACATACAAATTTTTTAGATGTAATATGAATCTGAGTAAATATGTTATCTTTGTGAAAAATATATGACATTTATATTCAAAATATTCCTTATTCCATACAAACCAGCATGTCAATTATATTATCCTAACTTCTTTAGTTTGGAGGTATTATTTATTACTATACCTTATTTTCCTCGTTTCTCAGAGGGAAGATGCCAGGAGGAGAAGAGGAGGTGAGTCAGGTCCACACACTGGACATTAACTTGGCCACTGTTTTTCTCATTTCTCTTAAGTATTAATTACAGTGTATGTACCATCATAAAATTATTTTAGCCATAACATAAGTTATGTGTCGTCAAAAAGTGGAGTTTGGGGATCGCCTGACCCATTTCTTCACTCATATCCCATATGTTATGTTATTCACTTACGCTGCTTCCATGTATTCCCTCCGGGTTACATTAACCGCGTAAAGTGAGGGTTAACTGTATTCCACGTACACGTAAGTATAAATATAAAGTTTATGATGATCGGACAACGCCCATAAGTTAACGCCACGCTTCAAGAATGGCCTGTGGACGTTAACCGCACATGACTGTATTTACAAGCCATAGTATGAATACAAGCAATGATGGATGTCATATAGCGGAAAGTAAAGCATTTGAAAATAATCTTTTAATTACAATTTAGTGAACTTTGTAATTTTATGGGTGAAATGACGGCATCACATGGGTGATTTTCTTCCACCCCCTAACTTCCTTCTCTCCTCTCTCCCACCCACTTCTACCCCCATCATCATCATCAACTTATGAGCCTTTCTACATAATAATAATCTCAAAGTAAGTGTACTTTTACTGCATTTTTTTTTACTTGTATGTAATTCTTCTTTCAGAGCTGGAACCAATTGCCCAAAAATCCCATTGAAATGCATGGTTTCAAGTTAACTAACGACCAATCTTCTTGGGAACAAATTGTGTTCATTAACCGAGGGACCACTGTACCAAAAGTGGCATGATCCAGGAATATCAAAAGAGAGTGGGGGTTCCAAGAAGTTGTGTGTGAACATGACATAGCTTGGTGCCCACCCAGCTAAATATGATTGGGGGACCCTAAGCCCCCCCATTTTTTTTTTTTTTTTATTATGACCACACGGGCACTTGAAGCCATGATCACTTGATATTAGGAAATATTCTGTGGCCAATAGTAATTACTTTTACTAAAGAAAATGCCTGGAATGCAATAGTGCATTAAAGAAAGAGGCTGGTAATTTTTCTAATGAAAGGGGTGGCCTGAACCCCATGACCCCTCTCCTGATATAAATAAATTTATGTTAACTTTTACTTTGTGTTTGGTGTCACCACCTGAACTAATTAAATTAGAAAATCCCTGAATAGTAGCGCTTAGCGGTAAAGGCAGAATTGATCTCATATACAGTATTTTTCGATTTAACAAACTAATTGAGTCACCCCTTCTTAAACTGCAAATATATGCTAAATTGAACTTTGAAGAGTGGTTTCAATTGTTTAATTTTAGTTCGCCAAATTTTGAGCATATTCAAGCATCTTTGGCGCCCAAATGCACCGTGCTGGAATGCGGGGGTTTGTTTCCATCCGCCAGTCTGTATCCTGCTGCCACCGCTGGGTTGTTCACTGCTACCTCTCAGTCTACATCTCAGTTAAATAACTTCTTCTGTGCTTAGACTTCATGCCGAAAGTCTCCCCTGTAGTTCCAGAAAGGAAGAGGTGTGGGGGAGAAAGTCAAAAGAGTTCAGCTATCAATTGGTAGCTTAGAAATTATAGGTAAAATTTGAAAACAATCACCGAACCCCTAGTTTACGGTAAGCCAGACAATAATGTTTTTAATATTTCTATATACATATCATGTGTCTGAGGTGTCTCAATAGGTGATGCGGTATTAACAGAATTAATCTCAATATAGTGAACTAGTTCAGTAAAATTGTGTGAAAATAACAGAAATAATTCTTCCATGAAATCTGAAATTCATTATACAGTACAGGTATCGTATTCCATCAAATCAAGAGTACATCAGTATGTATAAAATTTTCAGCAAAATGTTTCTGCACTGAAACTGAAATGAAAGCAATACTGAACTGATAATGGGGGTGAATTAAAGGCGATGAATACAGTTTTAACAGGGATATGCGATCGGACGTTGTTCGGTCGGACGTTAACTAGCGATGACTGTACTCTATGTTCAAGAGGCCCACAAGCAAGATGTTTCTCCCGAACAGAGATACAAACCGAGGCCTTGGTGGGTGAGTGAAGTGGCTGATGCAAGCACACCAAAAGCTAGTTCCCCTGTACTGCAATTATGTTAAATAAGTGTTAAAATGGATTTCAAAAATTTTAATATAAAACTTGGAAAATTATTGAATAGTACACTTTTCTTGATATTTACTCCAATTTTTGAATTTCGCTTCCTAGAACCGATTTCCCTCATTGGCGACTAATCTTCCAGCCAGAGCAGTTTTGCATGTCAAATATTGAGAAGAATTTCAAGTAACTGAATTTTCGTTCCTCGTTAACCACCCTGCCTCGTTAACCGAAATGAAGATTCTTATGGAAGGTAATTCGTTAACTGAAATTTCGTTAACTGAGGCTGCTCATAACCGAGAGGGACCACTGTATATCAAATAATATATTATACATTTTTGCTGTTACTGTACCTTGTTGTGAAAGCATGCATGAAATGTTCATCTAGATGAAATTCTTATAGTATCACAATTGGTTACTTTTTCAGGAAGGCAGATTGCTGGTCACCAACCTGCAATGTAAATGATTCCTAAACACATCCTTGGATCTATTGGAAATTCATTCTTCAAGAATGTTAAGACTGTTATGTTTTTGCCTGACCAAAAGTCTCTGCTCTTGATATTTCACCAACTTCTTGTTCCGTGGCATGGTAATGTAGATGCTACTTGTAGGTTCAGTAATTCTTCGATTCATAACTGTGTGTTACAGGAAAATTTGTGTTTTGATTTTTCTAAGGTTGTCCAGAGCTTTGTTTGACTCTTTTTCCAAGAAGGTTCAGAATACTTTATTTTAAACCTGAAATTGCATTCCGTAATAAATATATGAACAGTAATGGAGAGTATAGACAGCCTACATTTGTAGTAAATACAAATTGGGTAATGAAATCAGAAGGTGAAAAAATATAGTGGTGCCTACTAAGAGCTTGGTTTTTCATTGAGCCTTTGAAATATTTTTTTCTCTCAATTTCTTTAATGATCCCTAAGTTTTGGCATTATGGATCACTAATCGACAGCCAAAATGTTTCAGAAAATGAAATTAATTAATCTTTTTATTTAATTAAGAGTGCTGATAATAAATATGGACACCTTAAAATTGTTAATTGGCTCTAGTTTTGAAGATATGGGCTATCCCACATGTACGATTTGCACGCCAGTGATCACATTTCGCATGGTGCTCCAGGCAAGGTATTTCAAGCAAGGAAAAGCAGATTATAGTTATTTGAATATCCAAATCGCTACACCTGGTATCCCCGTGGTGAAGTACTCGTTCCCTGGAACCCCCAGACCATTTTTTCCTGGAACTGGAGGACAAATACACAAAATCAGAAACATGTGAGCCATCAACATCAAGAGATCTCGATTTTGCACCTAACGCAACATCTGCTGAACCATTACAGGATCACGAGAAAGAATTAAACGATTCTTATCAGAGTTCTGAACTGTCCTTGTCAAAGAGTAAGGCAGAACTGTTGAGTTCAACACTGAATCTCCTGATAATTAGGTGACAGGTCTGTGTTGAAAGCCCTCCAGAAAGATTGGCTTCATTTTTAAGAGGCAGGTATGGGAAACGCAGGCAGTGGCCAACAGGCAAGTTTTCATCTAATCCTCCCCAGTTTCTCAGGGCACTGATGGTTTTTTGACCTGCCCTCAAGAAGCGTTGAGCTGCCAGCATTTGCAGGGGGTAATTTTCTAGGAGTCACCCCAGAGGTGCTTCCCTAGTCTCTGTGCTGTGGATTTTCCTGAAGTTTAAGTTTACTAGTATTTTCTTGTATCAAAAGGAAAGACTTACTCCTTCCTTGTGTTTTTTTTATATTTATTTATTTATTTATTTATTTATTTTTTAAGAGCATGTTCTCACAGAGGCACTATCCCGGGTTTACACCGATTTGCTCAAAAGTCGGATGCAGGGTGGCTTTTGGGGGTAATCTTTCCCAGCTTCTGTCGGGATGTAGCAGTCTCCACTATGGCATACACATTTTATGGCAGAACATTAGTTTGCTGGGTTCTGTCCCACGCAGGAGAGAAGGGGAATGAGTGTGCCGGATAAGTGCGGCAAAGCAGCTGCTTCTCACCCTGTGGGCACATCATTCTCTCTACCTGCCACTAATAATATGAAGACCGTAATAAGAGCTGTCATCCGCTCGAGTTGGCTATGCAGGATGCTGCGAGCAAGCAAGCCAGCAGCATCCACACTGTTTGGGTACCTGGGGATATCGGAGGACTTCGCGGTTGCTGGGAAACTGCTTTTTGGTCCCCGCCTCCGCATTGGCCACCGCAGAGCTGACTTTTTTCTGCTTATTGGAGAGGGGTGCCTATACTAATGGGGGTTAAACTTTTAAATCATAGTATTTTATTTACCTGATGACTTATTTTACATCATTTACTGTATTTTGGTCATTCTATTTTCTTGTCTTAAAATTAACTGGACCTAGTTGTATATATGAATTAGGCTATGATATAGTAGGATTTAAACATTGGTTCTGTAACATACAGTGCATTATGGTGAGTGTCTGATCACGACAAAATTCGACTTAAGAACATCCTCGAACAGAACCCGCTTTGTAACCTGAACTCCCCTGTAAACGAGAGGATCACCCAGGCTTAAGGGTTAAGATGAAAGGTAACCCCGCTGTTCGTAACGATGTAAATGGTCTACGGGTAAATTTTAATACACAGTATAACCTTGATATCCGGCATTTAACCACCTGAACTTCTCAAGCAACCGCCATATTTTTGCGGGTCATTTTCCAGCAATTTATGTCTAATCACATTTAAAAAATCAAGAAAATCAGTTTGAATTCTATAATCATGGTTCCATTTCTGTCCCTTTTGCCCTTATATATTTACTATGTGCTTATTCATTTATAATGTTACTCTGATGATGTTCTTGAGTTTGAGGATGCATATTTATAAGAGTTACCTGAAGCATCCTCGAAAACGATTATCCAGGCTCTTTACCTGCCCCCATGCATTCCCGGATATCTGAGGTCTTATCATTAATGATAACTGTTCATAGGTCACCAAAGCTGAGTTTAAAAAGCTGTTCTGCTGCATGATGGCAATGTGTTGCTGTCAATCTCCAGTTGTTCATGCAGTCTAAATGAAGGAATCAGGACAGGCTACATCTTTTTAGAACTCGTATAAACTACAAGAAATTCATTCCGTTTGAATGGGGACAGTTGAGCATGTACCAATTTCCTCAAATAGTGACGAAGACAGCGTGAAATGCTTTCCGCTGGTAGCAACTTCAATTTAGGATTACATCAAGGATGACAACCACAAAGAACTTCAGGAATACCTGTTGTCATCCTATCAGAAAATGGGCTGCAATGAGTCTTTTAAAAATACATTTTTCCACTGTCACATGGATTTTTTCTGGCAACTGTTGTGCAGTGAGCACTGTTAACATTTCCACTCAAGACATCTTGGCAATAGAGAAACAGTACCAGGGTAAATGGAGTTCAGTGATGTTAGCGGATCTGCTGGACAGTAACGAGATGTTCCAAGAATTCGTATACGTTTACAGGTAAAGAGTATGAATGTTTAATTGAGATACAGATCAAAATTCTATGCCACCAATATAGTGTAATACTTGTGAAATGTAAGATAGTGAATTTTCTTGGAAACTGTAGCACAGTATTTTCATTGTCATTTTCTATGTTCACATCCCAAACTCTTAAAGGGAAATGCATTTCATCTCCAAAATACAAAAAGACAAAATTGGTCGACTAGTGTAAAGTAGAAGTTAAACGGTAGTTAAAGGCCCAGAAGGAACACAATCATGAAAGGCCAAATGTTCCTGGTATTTAGTTGCCCTTGCTAATTTGAAGTAAATTTAAGGATGGAAGAAAATGATAAGCTTGCTTACAATATAACATTAATTACAATAAAACAAAAAAGGTGAATCAAAGCATCCTTCAAGACACGTAATAGGTTAGGTATCAAAACACAAATTCCTTAGGTAAATTTTTCATCATACCTCAAACACAAAATCGGTTCAATAAACAAGAACAAAACTTTACCTAACTAATGATAAATAGTACAACTACTGTATTCTAATTTATTTCAAACACATGTGATTACTACTAAACACATGAGAAAATAAATAAAATACTGTTTAATCCTTGGGTTATTAATCCTTATGGAGGGCAGTCTGGGCTAATTCACTCACAAGTGGGTGAGCTAGGTGGGCTGATTAAGGGCCTTTATTCAGCGAGGTGAGGAGTTGTCTGTCTCATTACTGCTGTCTGCCAAGCGATCACACACCAGAGTGTGAAGGAGGAAGAAAATCTGCTGGTAGGAGGAGTGAAACTGAAGCCAGCATGCAGGAAGCTGAAGGTGGTGATGGGTCTGAAGAAGGAGGATATGGTGGGTTGTCTGGCCTTGTTCCTCAGCTGTTGCTGACATTTCCAGTTGCTTGTTTTATGTTGTCAGCACTGTTGTAAATTGGGGCCACAGTTGAAGTAGCCAGACCAAAATCTTTTCCTATTTTTTTGTAGGGCCATCATGGTGATGCCCTTAATTACTTCCAGTCTTTGTCTCAAGAGTGTCACAGCCTTTCGCTGTTTCAGTGCAGTACGGTAGCTGAAGATTCAGCAGAATGCTTAGATGCCATTATGAAAGTTGTAACGAAGGATGCACGAATACACACAGATAAAAGAGAGATAACTTCACATGCACAAATAACTGGCAGAAGGAAAGACAGGTCAGGGAGATGCGAGGAAGGGGGGAGTATGGATTAGTGAGTACTTAACATGTCTCTATCAAGATCTCTCACCCAAATTGTCAGCCCAGCTGACTCCCAGTGAACTGCACTTTGCCTGACCAAATTGCTTAAGCAGGGAAAAGCCGCCAAATAGTGGTAGCAATTTAGGAAATTCACATAACAAATATTCGCATCTCAAACATTCATATCTCGAGGAATACCTGTACTGTATATAGCCAGACCCCTGACTTACTTATCGGGGTTAGGGGACCCAACCAGGTCGTAAGTCCAATGGTCAGAAGTCCCATAGAAAAAAATAAAATAAAATTATTTATTTTATTTATTTTTTAAATAAAAATCTACAATGAACATGGTGCATAGTAAAAGTAATAAAAAATGAGGAATGATACAGCACAGTGAAAGTATTAAATAATGAGGAATGGATACAGTGTGACTGGAGCACCACTAATGTAGTCAGCTGAATGTACCCTGGGCCCCATAATTTTTAATTATGGAGACTACATTAACTGGAAAATTTTTGGTATAGAAAATGCGTGTGTCATCGGAAAAAAAAAGAAAGAAAAAAATGTCACAACTGCGGCGGTCATAAGTCCCGACGGTCGTGAAGTCAAGCAGTCGTAAGTCGGGTCTAGGCTGTATACTGTAGTATATATACTGTATACTGTTAATTTACCAGAGTCGCGGGTTACCAGTCCGCTACTCCTGTTACTTGTCTTTCAGAAGAATACAATTATCTACTTATGTAATGTATTAAGTAATTAAACAATGCACCAGTTTTGAAATACTGTAACTTAAAATATGAACAATGGAGCAACATCCTGT